AGATACCATGTGTTACAAGTTTACTTTTTGTATGTTTTAGTTTACTAAATTATACAAATCCCATAAGTAAATGCCAATTTAAACTTTAAATTGACAACCTCAGTTTACTTCAGTCTCTGTAAAACATGAAAAAACTTAGAACTCTTTGGAATATAGATTTTTATTGTTTTTAGTGCAAAAACTAGGATTGGGTGAAATGTTTTCTATTTAGAAAGTTTCAGAAATAGAAATATTTTATCTATGTTAGATTGTGAAGAAGTATGTTAGCCTGTAGATGTTTTTCAGCATTCCAGTTCAAACAGTAATTTTTGAAATTGAATCTCAGATAACTTGTGAGTCTTTGGGTGGGTGGTGTTCTTTGTATTGGCTTATATGGAGAAACTGAAAACAAAGATTATGGATTGACAAAGACAAAATACTTTTAATAGTAGGTTTTGAGTTTTAAGTTTATTTATTTTAGGGGGGGAGGGACAGAGAGAGAGGGAAAGAGAATCGCAACCAGGCTCTGCACTGTAAGTGCGGAGCCTGATGCGGGGTTTGAACTCGTGAACTGTTAAGATCATGGCCTGAGCTGAAATCAAGAGTTGGACGCTTAACCAACTGAGCCACCCAGGAGCCCCTGAGATTCTTAAGTGGGATTTATTATACTATTTTCAGGTGAAACCTTCCTTTGCAATGATAATGGTAGTGATTTTGAATGAAGATTATTTAAGCAAAAAGTACAATATAAAATTCATCTTTCTAGAAACATACAGTGTATAAAATGAGGACATATTGAATTTCAAATGAATAGGAAATAACATTAATTTTTAAATATATACTACCTAAATGGCGTTTATTATAACTGAAAAACACATTTAACTTACTCTTCAATATATATATTTTTAAAAGTAATAATGCATATTGACTTTTTATTTAATATATTCTTATAATCATTTCTTTGTCAATAATTTCAGTATATTTTCTGCCCCTTGGATATTTGACTTTTTTAAAAATCAATTTTGAGGCAAAAAATAGTTTATTAAGTAAATACCTACTTAAAAATATTTTTAAGGCACCTGAGTGGCTCAGTTGTTAAGCATCTGACATCAGCTCAGGTCATGATCTCACAGTTCATGGGTTTGAGTCCCACATCAGGTGAGCAGAGCCCCGCTTCTGGTGAGCTTGAGCCCTGCTTTGGATAAAATGTGAGCCCTGGGTGAGCCTCACTTCTCTCTGTCTCTGTTTCTGTCTCTGTCCTCCCTTCCCCCCCTCTCTCTCCCCCCTTTCCTCTCTCTCTCTCTCTCTCCCCGCCCTTCTCCCCCCCTCTCCTTCTCCTTCTCTCCCTCTCTCTTTCCCTCCCTTCCTCCCTCCCTCCCTCTTTCTCTCTCCCTCTCTCTGCCCCTCGCTCACTTGCTCCCTCTCTCTCTCTCTCTCAAAAAACTTTTTTTAACCAAACTTGTAGAAAATTTGATTTAAATAATTAAGAGTCCTCTTCTTCCATTTTTCATGTTTGAAATGTGCGAGAGAGAGAGAAGGAATGACAGAATTACATGCTTTCTGTAAAGCCAAAGAATTTTCAAATTTGGTAAATTTAAAAATTTTTAATGGTCTATTTGGCATCCTTACAAGTATTCCTCCTTTTGGAGAAGTGAAAGTAAGTTTGGAAGTTTAAGTTTTTCAGGATGGTGTATAGTATTAGATCTGGCTTGATTGGAAACTACATGGAAGAAGTTAAGGTAGCTAGTTCATTAACCATAACTTAATTCTCATTGTAGTTAAATAATAAAATATTATTATTATTATTTATTATTTTTTTAAAGAAGTGTATGCCCTTTATCATCCCTCCTTTCCCCTTTTTTGCAACCAGTCCACTCATTTGAGCTCTGGGATACTGAATCATAAATTGCCAAAGAATAAGCAACTAAAATTTTGCTTTCTACCAGTACATTTTGCTAAAGCTTTTTGGTTGAGAGAACCCAAAAGAAAAGCAGTAATATCTTAATAACAGGAATGATGTTTTAATAATGGAGGCAATACCTAAAGTATTTTTCTATCTTGTGGTGAAATTTCCTGGACACTTATTTCAATTAGCTGGTGCCTGGTGGTAAGGATTTTCAGCCTTGTAACTGATTCATTGTATTACTCAGTAGAGAAATCATATAACCTCTTTGTGCCTCAGTTTCTTTATCTGTAAAATGAAAACTGAGCTCTAAAGCAAAGAGCTTGGTGTTTGTAAGTCTTGCAGGATGTAGTCCCCAGTTCCATTGGATATAGCCTGAGATATCAAAACTACTACTGATGGCTGATGTTTCTATCAGGAGTTGAATACTCGTGGCGACTAATAATCTTGGGTCTGTTACTTAACATCTTGCCACTTCTGTTTCCTTTCCTGCCAAAGTAGGGTAATAATGTCTAAAGCAGGGTTTTTTGAAATTTAAAATGGCGTATATATGTATATATATGCAATTTCTATAATATATATGCAATTTATAGTAATATTTATAATTTATGTATAAAAATAAAGTATTGAGGCTAAAGCTCGTTATTGTAGTTGTTAGGCTATTTTCATTATTTTCTTCTGATTACTAGACACAGTTTGCTCTTTAGGACCAATAGAATAAATTTTCATAAGTGCTCTATATGGCCCTTAAATGTAGTGTTTTGAAACTGAAGACAGCTAGTTTGTACCATATTCCTATCAACTCCCCCAATGCCAGCTCCTGTTGTTTTTTCCCCTTGCTTTAACCATCTCCAAATTGCTTAACCTTTTCATTTTCACTGATCCTTTTGTTGCTGACCTTCCTTTCTCACTACTCTGTTCTACTTTTTAGAAACCTAGAAACTATCTGAGCCACTAATATCATCTTACAAAATGATCTTTCTACATCTGTGACGTCATTTAATCCTTGTTTCTTCTAATCCCAACTAACATATACACCACATGCACCTGTACCCTTTCACACTTTTGGCCATGGTCTTCTATAGAAATGGCTCATTATTTCACATTACTTGTCCTTTTCAGATTTTTATACCTTGTTTTTTCTCACCTGCATCCCTAGAACAACATTAAATAATTTGGTGTAATATACATATATACCTTGTTCCTAATTACTTTTTATTTTGTCAAAATTTTAATAACCTACATTAAATAAAGAGAATATTTTATATAAAATGTGTACAATCATATTCATTGAAAGTAAGATATTTCTATAAAAAGCATCTCTGTTTTATGGACTAATAAGAAAAAACTATAATTTACAAGATACCATCAGTTTTAAGATGTATTTCATTTCATTAATGTTGAAATATGAAGAAAAATGTAACTTAGGATCAATGAGATACGACATATATAGTAGATACTGTTTTTAATCTTACTAAATTTTTTGTTAGAATTTCCATGTATTCTTGTTTGCTTGATGGAAACTTTTAAATTTTCTTACTTTCATAGTTTCTGTGAGTTACTTTTTGCTTTATTGCAGATATTGTGAAAAGTATGAGACAATTTTTCTTGCTTTAGTTCTTCCTAAATGTTTAATGCTTTTATGATTACATAACTTGGATCACCTTTACTTAATAAATTCCCACCATGACACAAAGATGAAACCTCATTTGAATACTTGAGAGGGCAAACATTTTTTCTTTCAAGAAGAGAGAGCTATACGAAAAGTTTCTAAGCTTTTCTCCCCACACACAGAATTTACATGTTAGCTCTCCTCATATTCATGCTAGTATATGTCATGATGTAATAGAGCCTCTGACCTTGTACTGTCAGTTCACTTTACACAGTTTTCCCCCTTACCTTATATACCTTTGGTTTTATTTTGTCTTAGCTATGTAAAAAAAACCTCATTTCTTTTTCAGTTTTTCTTTCCATTATATTTCCCAGCCCCCTATTAATTACTTCACTTTCTTATGATCTCTCTTATTATCTTGTTTACTCTGAGAGAGTATGTTGAGGTGGGTGCGATAGGTATCCAGAAATGAGTGTATATTAGTATTTTACATACCTTACAACTCAGTTGGGATAAAAAAGTCACTGTATTTTTTTATTTGAAGGAAGATGGTTCTGTGTCCACTTGAGGGCTACAACTCAAGGTCGATGTCTGGAAATCTGTTAGACCTGGGCTGTCTTCTTGGAGCTGTGGAGTGTGTCTAGGAGATCAGAAGGAAAAAGAAGGGATTATACAAACTGATCTTTCTACCAATTAAAACATTTTAAGGAACCCAAGCTCTATGTAAATGATGTAAAATAGTAATAGAATAGTATTTTGTTTGTAAATGTTAATTTAGTTTCTAATGTAATAGAATGTCCAGGAAGTATTGTTTGGCTAATCCTTACTCACAGAAGATACTGAAACTTAGTTAAACTGGTTGAAGTGATTTTCAGATTATTTTATGCCTCCTGAGTAGTTCTTATTTTGGGGGCTTGTAGATTTTAGGGAGACTTTGGGCCATCACGTGCAGGTTTTTTGTAGGGAGGGGATCCATAGCTTTCAGCAGAATCTTAAAGAGTTTAACCCCAAGGAAATAAACCCTCTTTAGAGTTTTAGGTTAGCACTATTTCTTTTTTATCTACTCTCCATTGTGATTTTGATTGTAAATCATGAAAACCCAGGAGTATTTTGAAACTCAAAACAAAGAAAATTTGGTCTTGAGCTGTTACCGTTGGAAATGGCAGTATTGTTCAAGTGGTGTATTTAAAACAATAATAAAACTGCCCATGAACTACCAGGAAATTACTTTTAGGAAGATGGTATTATTTTCACAGAAAAAGACATTAGAAAACTATGGGTCCACATAAGTTGAGTAAATGTGAGGAATTAAACATATACTTTGAACTTTAGTAATTTCATAGTTGTGATTTAAATTATTTTCCTTAGAAAATATATCTTGCAAATAATAAATGTTACCTGGTATTTGTTTGTATATATGTGTGTAGGTATGTATATGTATGTGTATATGGGAATTACTTTTTTTATATGAGTAATGAAAATACTTGATTTTTCTTTTTATTTTAGTGCATGCAAGATATGGGAAATACTAAAGCAAGACTACTCTATGAAGCCAATCTTCCAGAGAATTTTCGAAGACCACAGACAGATCAGTATCCTTTAAACTGTATTTATTGTGGGTTTAAAAAAAATTAACTGATTTTTATACTTCATATTTTAACTGTATTTAGAAAGTTGTGAACTTTACCATGATGTTATTTCTTTATTTAATTAATTAATTTATTTATTTATTTATTTATTTTTAAAATATTTTGTTACGTATTTTGAAAGAGAGAAAGAGTGTGCACGCATGAGTTGGGGAGAGGGCAGAGAGGGAGAGAATCCCAAGCAGGCTATGTACTATCAGATCCTGGAGATCAGAGAGACCATGTAGAATAATACTAGTATAGCCTTGAAATGAGCAATGATGAAGTTATAAATTAGTGCATTAAGAATGGACAAGAAGGAATTGGGAAGATTGCAAAGAAATTGGGAAAGCAGGAGCAATTGGATTAGATTAAAACTGGCTCTGTTTCTGAAGAAGATACTGGGATGACCCCAGATATTAAAGCTTGCCTGAGGTTCTATGGTGAAGTAAAACATATTCCCAGACAGAAAGTATTCAGTACCAGATGAAGGTTGAAGGGTCAGAAAGGAAAGGTGATAAGCCATGCTTCATGGCTTTGGACAGGTTGAGGTGTCTGTTGGACATATACATGGAGATCCCCATTTAGTAGCTGGAAACATGGGTCTGGACCTTAGAAGAAAGCAGGAAATTCAGTGCAGATTATAGAGTAATTTAGCATGTAGGGAATACGAAAGTGTTGAGTGAAGTTGTGTTTACCCAGGGCAGTGGTCCTATATTCTTTTTTGTGTGTTTTATTAAAAATCTTGGGAATGCTGTTTTCTTTCTCCTCTGAAAAATGGAGGCCTAGGGCAGAACCCTGGAATAGAGCATGGCAGAAGGAAATAGAGTAGAGCAAAGAAGTAATGTCCTGGGTTTTTACCAGTTGCTTGCTAGTTGTATTTATTTCTCTTCTCTTTGGTTCTCACCCCACAGGCTGAGTTGACGCTCAAATGGAAGAATTTTCTTTCTGTGGAAGTTTGTGTGTGTGTTTGGGTCAGTTTGGTTTGAGTTGGTTTTTTTGGACTTCTCTTGAAGATTACAGGGTAAATTCTTGAAGTTCTTGAAGTTTTTGATAGTATCCTTTATTTGGTATCTTGTGGGTGAAAGTGGCTTCCAAGTTATTTAATATATCATCATGATTCTGTATTGTTTTCAAAGAAGTCTTGAAGGTATTTCAGAAAGGACTGGATGTAGTTTTTTGGTATTCTCTTACATTGAACTTTTTTTTTGTTTTTTTTTTTTTAATTAATTAATTTATTTTGAGAGTGAGAGAGAGGAGGGTAGGGGCAGAAAGAGAGGAGAGAGATGTGCAGAACCCAGTGTGGGCCTCATTCTCAGGCACTGTGACATCGTGACTTGAACCAAAATCAAGAGTTGGATGCCAACTCCTGAGCCACCCAGGCACACCTCACATTGAAATGTTCTATCCACTGTTTCATATATGTTGGTAGCAATACTATTTCTTCTCAAATAATTACCATCAATTTTATGATGAACCTTATAGAAATAAAGGATTAATGAGGTAGTGAGTTATTAATTCTGTTATTATTTTTGCTGATATATTTTTAAATGTTTGGTACTTAGCTAAAAATTTCAGGAGAGATAAGATTTTTACAGTGAATTGATTGATGTTTGGTATCATTACATCCTCGACCTTTGACACACTGAAGATACAATGTTGTGAACAGCAGCTGATGTAGCTTTACTGCTTAAAAAAGGTTAGCGGTGTGCTAGGCACTAGCTTGGCATTTTATGTACATTATCTTTTTTTTTAATTCTGAAAATAACTCAGTGAACTAGAGCATAGTATTTTCCTTTTTGAGGGTGTGGAAAGGTGGGATGCTCAAAGAGTTATTAAGAAATTTCTCAAAGCTTCCAGACTTTTCCTCCTGTAGACGGGCACTTGAATATTTTTAAATGATGATAGTCTAAGTAAAATCAGTGTTGCCACTTTTGAGTCTTGATGGCCTTCAACAATAGATAGGCTTATGGTTTGGGACTCTTTGCAGCTAGATCATAAGATTTAGATAATAGATTTTAACTTCTAAGTAGCTGGTGTGATTCATTTCGGGCTTTTGGATTATGTATATTTTTGCTAACGTGTGCTCAAGCATGCTTATATGATTTTTCAAACTAAATTTACTTCTTCTAAAGCATTTAAAAATTATGGTCATATTTATATGAGGTGTTGACTTACTGTTCACAAAAAGATAATCTAATGGTGTCAGAAACTACTTAAAGAGGGATTTTGTCGAAACAGATTTGATGACACAAAGATGACCACTACGAGTTTAAGATGACATGCCCTGGGCCATGAGACCAGTCCCTATATCCAGTATAATACTGTGGCCTTAAAATTGTTTTTACCTTAAATATTATAGCAACATCACTTTATTCCCTTTTTTAAATTATGAAACATTGTGATTTTATTAGGGAAACTAGTAACAAAACTAGTCCCTGTTCTTTATTTCACGAATCATTCTAAATTTCATTGTTCTTAGAAAAGCCTAAAATTGCTGCATTTTTATTGATTTAAACATTGTTGCCTTACCCCTAGAGGCAAATGGAACCAAACTGAGTAAAACTCACATAATATGGGCCTTACTGAATTCTTAACAAGATTTGTCACTTTTTAAAAGCTTTACAATTTACAAAGTTATGCAAAAGCTGCTGTGAAAGTACAATTTCTCATGTGGGATGTGGTTAATTATAGGCTGCATGTACCAGTGCATGACAAATGATAAAGCTTTACATTAAGCTTTTCATTATTAGGATATTTCATCTTATCTAAAAACTTTAATTACTTCAGTTCCATGAGGTCTATTGTGCACCAAAACTAATCAGCAGTTCTTCTCCTTTGAGCATTTCAAGATTGTACTGCTGTCAGTGGGAATGTGTCTGGAATTGGAAGATTTTGTTCTTGGGAGTAAATATTAATTTGTCTTTTAAAATGGTATCTTTAAGAAAAGGAAAACAATCTCAAATTACAAATAAATACATGTTAAAATACAAAGTAATGTTAAACTTCTGTGGGGCTTGTATAGTATCATTTGTTAGTTTCGAGGACAGGAACAATTAAGGGTGCTGTACTGAATGTTTTGTAACTATAGGCATGGGGAAGACTCTGGGGTATTTGTTTTTGTTTGTTTATTAAATCCGAAATCAACCACTTAAACTTGAATTGTTAATATATTCCTTTCCCTGATTTCCTGAAAATATTGTTGTTCTATTTCTATTTTTTTTTTGGTTATATTATTGATCTGTCAGTATAACTAAATCCTTATGTCTCAAATGACACGTAGAGAATAGAAAATGAAGATGAGTATTGATTGTTCTCCAAATTCATTTGTCCTTTTATTGTTTCTCAGTTCATCTATTTAAACTTGATGACGTGCAAATCATCTTAGCCCTGAACGTGGTAGTTGTTGTTCATTTCTTCCCTCAACTGTGATAATAAGAGCTAAAAATTAAATAGCACTCACTATGTGCCATACACTGTGCTTAGTTCTCTATACACACTAGCTTGTTTAATTCTTATAATAATCCTGTGAGATGAGACTTTAGTGTTATCTCCAGTTTAAAGGTGAGGAAACTGAGATACAAAGTTATATAACAACAAAACCTAACTTCATTTATTGAATTCTTACTGTCTTTTAGGTGCTGCAAAATGCTTTATATATATTATTCCCATAACTCTCAACAACTTTGTGAGTTTAGTATTTTTATCTGTTTTTTTTTTTTTTTTTTTTTTTTTATTATACCTAGGTATGGGTTCAGCAGATTAGCTGACTGCCTACTGGTACCAGAAATGAGGGTGTATGTTGGAGACCATCTTCTTTGAGCCTTAGTACTAGAGTCCACATATAAGGCAAAACTATTGTCAAAATGTCCACTGAAAATTCCTTAAGATGTCTGTAATGATAATTTGTAGACACAGAGACTCTCTATAACTCCAACTTGTTTTGCCCTCATGGGCAAAATTGGGATACAATTCAGGAATCAGTAACTGCAGGCTTATGAGCCAACTCCTCTTTCTGTAAGTAAAGTTTTATTCTCATGCCCATTAATCTATGTATTTTCAAGGCTGCTTTGGAGCTACAAAGGCAGAGTTGAATAATTGGAGCATAGACCAACTATCCTTCAAAGCCTAAAATATTTACTGTCTGGCCCTCTAAGAAAAAGTTTGCTGATCCTGGGAATAAATCATTGTTTCTTTAGGTGAATTAACAATGAAGAATTGGCATACATTTGGGACCTTGTACAAATATACATAAAGACCCTATGATATGTTCTTGCTTTAAGAGGTACATAGGAATGGATAGCAACTGAGGACATAAAAATCATGTTCCATAAATCATGGTCCTTTCTCAGATGACTCCCAAGGAAGTTAAAAAATGCACTTTGTGATGGGCTTTGATTGGTTTCTGAAAAGTAATATTTAAGGGGTGCCTGGTTGAGTATCCAACTTCAGCTCAGGTCATGATCTCGTGGTTTATGGGTTCGAGCCCTGCGTTGGGCTCTGTGCTGACAGCTCAGAGCTTGGAACCTGCTTCAGATTCCATGTCTCCATCTCTCTGCCCCTCCCCTGCTCATACTCTGTCTCTCTCTCAAAAATAAATAAATGTTAAAAGAAAGTAATATTTAATAATAGGAAGACCCAAGTGAGTTCTTCTGCTGTAGTGATTATTTTAACTTAATTAATTTAATCTTAATATCCTTGGAAAACAACTCAACTTTCATCTCAGAATTTTAGGAATTGCTTACTTTTTAGATAATTTGTGAGAAGGTTTCTTATAAGCAGAACCAGATTCACCTAAGTTTGCATTATTTATATAAAATATATTAAATATAAATTAAGATTTCACTGATATCAGTTATTTCTGCAAATTTACAGCAACATGTATTTTCACTAGATGTTTGTATTGTTTTTCACTCCAAAAAATTGTAAACTTAAAATATTTGTCTTTTTCAAATTTAGTATTTATAAAACCATCATAGTTTTCAGTATTTTAGTTTTACTGTTGGTTAAACTATTTTATAAGCTCTGTTTCTAACCCTAATGAGTTTTCTCTCTAATAGTAATTTTTAAAATCATAAACAGTGATCTTTGTCACTGACATTTCATAGATAAGAGTACTAAATCTTTTCAAGCTTTAAGTTAGTATACTATAAACAATATCTAAAATGAGTGTTGTTTCTGTCTTTAAGAAGGAAAAATATTAGTATTATCCTCCTCTCTGATATTTAAATATAAACATTTTAATATAAGAATTTAGATTTCTAAAAATTTTCTGTAGTTAAAAGAATAGCTGGATATATATACTGTATTGTATGCTATATAATACATATTTAACTGTAAATATAATTGCTGCTAAAATATTTATACAAATTTATAAATATATATATGAATAATAAATATATTCCATATCATCTGAAATGAAAATGACCTCAGTCTAAGTGAAGTCTATTTTCTCTTTTTGTGGAGGTAAGTAGTTGTCACTAACAGTGAAAATTGCTCAGTATATCCACATTCATACACCTAATCCAAAGGGCCAGATTTTTGATTGTTTCATTTTTTCCTGTTAGATAAACAGAAAAATGTAATATTGAACTTGTATTTACAGTCATGAGCTAACTTAACATTTAGCTGATTTACATGTGAAATAGTTGGAGTAAAATAACATTGCATTTTATGAAAATCTTGGCATATTGGCTGCTAAAATTTTCACATAGCTAAATAAGCAGCCCGATCACATCTTTTACTTAAAAGGGTCTCCCAGGCTACTTTGAAAATACCATGAGGGCACCTGGGTGACTAAGTCGGCTGAGCGTCCTCGGCTCAGGTCATGATCTCACAGTTCGTGAGTTCGAGCCCCGCATCGGGCTCTGTGCTCTCAGCTCAGAGCCTGGAGCCTGTTTTGGATTCTGTGTCTCCCTCTCTCTCTGCCGCTCCCCTGCTCACGCTCTGTCTCTCCCTCTCTCTCAAAAATAAGTAAACATAAAAAAAGTTTAAAAGAAAATACCATCCAAATTTGACAGTCTCTAGATTTTAAAAGTATTTATTAGCATTAGCACAAACTAACTGAATGGTTCACAGATGAACTGGTGATGATCAGGAACTTTCTGAAAGGTAAAGGCCAGATATTCCTGGTTTTGAATCACAGCTCTCTCTTGTACTATAAGAATCCCAGAGAACTTTTTAAACTTTCTATGCCACACTTGTAGTTGTGGAATGGCACCTACCTTACAGGTTGCGAAGAGGAGAAGCGGAGATAAAGATCACATAAAGTGCCCTTCACAAACTGTCTTTAAAAATGGCTTTCATGGGGCGCCTGGGTGGCACAATCGGTTAAGCATCCGACTTCAGCCAGGTCACGATCTCGCGGTCCGTGAGTTCGAGCCCCGCGTCGGGCTCTGGGCTGATGGCTCAGAGCCTGGAGCCTGTTTCCAATTCTGTGTCTCCCTCTCTCTCTGCCCCTCCCCGTTCATGCTCTGTCTCTCTCTGTCCCAAAAATAAATAAATGTTAAAAAAAAAAAAATAAAAAAAAAATGGCTTTCAGTCATTCAGTTTACTTAATAAATTAAATGTTTAGATCTCCTGTCTTGCCTTCCCTGGCCCTCTTTGAGTGCTTTCATAATGCCTCAACTTTTTAATATCCACTGTATATTGGTCTGTCATCTATTATCTGTTGCCTCAACTGTCAATTTAAAAGGCGTTTATTAACTTCAAATAAGGAGTTATTGACTGAAAATGTATTGTTTTACTGCTTCAGGTAACTTATCTTTTGAATAGAAGGATGTCTTACTGGGGATCTACAGAGAGATTGTATTTCAGTGTAATTCATTTCCTTTGTAATTCTGTGTATTTTATTTTATACAATTAAAAGCACCGTCCCAGAAAGAGTTCGCAGGCTTTGCCTGACGACCATAGGGGTTCGTGGTACTAAAAAGGTTATGAATCTCTGTCTGATGGAAGAATTCCCATTTTAGTGAAATTCAGTAAAGCAGTGATTGAGAAGTAAGAGAAGTCATCAATACCAGATAACTCAAAACTCTCAAATCCCACTAGAAGTGGATCACTCTATGTATAAGGCTAGTCCAGCCAACTTCAGAAAATTAAATAGTACTAACTTTGGTTGTAGTTTCTTGACTTCCCCATTCCTCAGCTTTGAAAGAAAAAAAAATGGCCCCCATTCTTCTAATATACAGGGAATCCTCTATAATGCAACTAGGAGAAGCCTGTGGGAAAGAACAGAAGTATTGAAATCACAGTTGTTTAGTTTTTCCCAGTTGCTAATTATTCATCTGTGATGCAGAAATGTACACATGACTGGCTTATGGAAGGATTAAAGGAAACAAAGTAGGGACAATACATAGCACAGTGTCTGGTATGTTATGGGCACCACATGGCTATTAGTTTCCTTATACTGAGAGTTTAAAATGAACTTTAATTGAGTTTGGTTGAAGGTGGAGGTTTGGGGAGTGTGGTGGTATTGAGAAATGTAGTTACCTTTTTCCCTAGAATTGGGTTGGGTGGTTTTGTTGAATGGAGAAAACTTCCTGAAAGGGATAGACTTTGGTTGGCAGAAAGAAAAGTAGGTTACAGAGTTTAGTTGCAGAAACAGTGTGAGAGGAAGGCATGGACTGGGGAGGAGGAAAATTGAATTTAGTGTGTAGGCTTTGTGGAAAGGAATGAATAAGGGGATTGTACGTGCCACTGAACTCATGCTTTTCCTTAAGTTATCTGTTTTCAGAGCAGTGGAATTTTTCATCAGAGATAAATATGAAAAGAAGAAGTACTACGATAAAAATGCAATAGCTATTACAAATGTAAGTAAAATCTTCATCTCTATTACCAATTGATGTTTGTTGAATGGATCTCAAACTTTTTAACATACAATGCAGCTTAATTTTTTTTATTGTAAAAATATACTTACAGACTTTTAAAAATTTGAATATTGGAATTTTTTGTCACATGTTTATGAACTCTCACAAAGCAGAACTCTTGATTCAGAAAAGAACACATTCTAAGTCTAGTAACTGTTAAATGTCATTTATTAAGTTAATTTATGAAATTTTTAAAAAGATAAGATCACTAACTGAAAAAGAGGGGAGAGAAAATTATTTCACTCAATTCTGGAAATAAATGAAAAAGAAACAAGGCACTTTATCCTCCCTTTACGCCTTTAGTGAATGTGTCCAGACATATGTATATTATGACATGGCATTTTAATTGATTACTATCAAGTATTTTGATACCTAATAGTTGAAACCTTACTGTAATGATCAAAGTATTGTATCATTGTTTCTTTTTAGTTTTTTTCTGATTAATTTTTCTCATTCCAGTTAATTACAGTTTAAGGCTAATTGTCTTTATTGTTATAGACATTTTTTGGCCTTTAATTCCTAGATTAATAAGCAAGCTATAAAAGATTAATCTTGTGGTTAAGTCATCTATGTATCAAACAGTTTGGAGACAATAATTTCATTTTGTATACAAACTGGGTCTTTCTTTTCAGTCCATACAGAGAAGCAATATACTAAAAAATTAATCAAACACTAACAAAATAAGGATATTTTGATCATGAAAAAGTCTTGTTAAAAATGTTTAAAATATCATTAATGTGTATTTTGAAACAGACACCCTTGTGTAAGAGTTTGGGCTGCATTGAATACAGGAGAGGAAGTCTTTTGAAAGAATGGTAAAAAATTGACAGTATTGAGAATGATATTTATAATGTCCATAAAACAGTCTAATTGTAGCACTATGGGGGAAGGAAAATGGGCTAAGTTTAAAACATAAGTAATATACGTTCATATGAAATTTTAAGAAATAATTTTAGTTTATTTTATAAAACATGGCTTTACATTAAATACCCTTTTAAAAAAACTAAACATTTTTGTTCTTTTTTATTATATCTGTATTGATACTATTTTTTTATCTTGACAACAGTTTGGAAAAGAGTTTTATGTATCTTTGGATGATAGCTGTTGCTGTGGAATTCTGCCGCCCCCCCCCCCCCCAGTGTGATAATGGTATTATGTTCAGTTAAGAGGATTTCTTCATTCATTAACAGATATGTACTGGGATAAAATATTTAGGAATTGAGTGCCAGGATATCTATAATTCTTTTTTTTTTTAATATATACTTTTTAATGTTTATTTTTGAGAGAGAGAGACATCGTGAACGGGGAGGGGCAGAAAGAGAGAGAGGGGGAGACATAGAATCTGAAACAGGCTCCAGGCTCTGAGCTGTCAGCACAGAGCCTGACGCGGGGCTCGAATTCTGAACAGCAAGATCATAACCTGAGTCGAAGTTCGATGCTTAACCAAATGAGCCACCCAGGTGCCCCTCTGTAATTCTTTTTTAAAAGTTAAAATTTCCTGCACCTGAGAACACTATTGTATTAAAAAGGGGTCATACACAGTCCAAAGCTTGGCACTTCAGGTGTAGGCTGTGTGTGCTCTTCTGTTGTGTTTTGGCTGCTCTTTCCCACTGGTCAGTCCTCTGCAGAACTCCTTGCCTGCAGTGAGGGAGTGTTTGGACATTTAACTAAGTGTGCTTTGATTTGTTTGTTGAAGTAACCCTGGATAAAAAAAGGAGTGGGGAAGCCTGATCCCAAAAAAAGAAAAAGGGAAAAGGGAACAACAAAAAAACCCAAATACATAGAGAATCAAAAAAACTAAGTCTGATTCCAAGTAAAGAGAAAGAAAAAATAGAAAAAAAAAAGCAGAAGAGAAAAAAGAAAAGAATGCAAAAGCCTGATTCCAAAAGAGAGAGAGAGAGAGAGAGAAGGAAATGAAACAAAGTAAACAAATGAGGAACTATGAGCCTGATTTCAAACAAAAAAAGAAGGAGGAAAACAACAACAAAAAGAGTTGTCTGTGGGTGCTTGAGGTTGCTGGCTGTGCTGGACTGGAGAAGAGGCCGGCTGCATTGGCTACGAGTCATCTCGCTCTAATAAATAAGCAGTTGCCAGGCACAGAGGGCGGGGTTTGGTGTAAGTGGGTCCTGCCTCCACTGGGGGCTGCTGTGTTGTTTTCTGAAGTACCACTGTGTTGGTGTTGAGGGGAAAGTGGTGCCACCCCAATGTCTCATGCTGAGACCAGGGGTTTCAACCCCCACTGTTCAGGCAGCCTTCACAGAATAGAGAGGGAAGTCAGCTTGCCCTGTGTCAAAAAACTCTTGTGCGTTTTTTTTCTTTGGCATGCGGCTGGGATTCAAATCCCAAAGTATTAAAGGACCCCCAGCATGGTGTGGATCTGTTCCCCTCTTCTGGAATAGAGCCTCTCTGCCCTGTTGATGAAAGGCCTTTGGCTGGCACCTACAGGGTCTTTTGTCTTGGGGAGGTAATAAACTCTCTTCCATAAGTAGTCCAGGAAGGGGACTATTCTCTCCCAGTGCATCCCAGAGATCGGAAATCACTACACTATGCTATTCACTCTGGGGCCAACTCCCTCCTCCCCAGGAAGACAAACCACAGCTTCTCTCCAGAGAAAGTCATGGACTTGCAAAACATCAGAGTTTCAGTTCCAAAGGCTATTTGCAAAAAAGAACTTGGATCCTATTTCTCGCTCTCCATCCAGTCCATGGTCCAGAGAGGTTTTCCTCTTCTGCTAACTCGAAGCCACACTAGCTCCTATCTCAACCCCTGTCTCTTTCTCTCCCTTTGTCTCTTCATAGAAAGTGTTCTCTCCCCTCTGTGGCACTGCTGTCTTTCTCTCCCCCAATTCACATCTACATACCTTATACCTGCCAAGTGTCTCCCTCAAACTGTGGAGACCCTTCTGCCACTCTGCAGACCAATTTCCTGGATGTTCCAAGTAATTTGACCTCAATACAGCTGTGTTTGAGGGACAAGTAAAGCCCAGGATCCTCCTACTTCTCCACCATCTTAACTTCTCTCTCTCTTAACTCATTTTTTAAATGGTTCATTGAAACCTGGCAGCTGAGTGTATGTGTGCCTTTCTGTGGAGAGAGAGAACAAGCATGACATAATGTTAACATTTGATAAATATTGGCAAAGTTTATAGAGATATTCATTCCCTATTTTTTATATTTTTTGTAGGCTTCAGAATGAAAAATTTAAGGTGAAGGGTTGTGTATTCTTGAGTTTATATTATTCATGTACTGAAAATTTAGAAAAGTTTATAAAATTCACATTCAACCCAAGGGTTGAATCTATTCATTTATATGCAAAATGATAATTTTTTAAAAGTTTATATTCTAGTAAGTTTAAAATATTCCTGTTTCACAGTAATCAATCTGTAAGTAACTAATCTTATATGTCACTAAGAATTACATTACATATTTATTTATTTATTTATTTATTTATTTTTTTTTTATTTTTTTTTTTTAATTTTTTTTTCAACGTTTTTATTTATTTTTGGGACAGAGAGAGACAGAGCATGAACGGGGGAGGGGCAGAGAGAGAGGGAGACACAGAATCAGAAACAGGCTCCAGGCTCTGAGCCATCAGCCCAGAGCCCGACGCGGGGCTCGAACTCACGGACCGCGAGATCGTGACCTGGCTGAAGTCGGACGCTTAACCGACTGCGCCACCCAGGCGCCCCTACATTACATATTTATATCCATTGTCTTTAGGTAATGGATTAAACATTCATTCAAATAGTTTCTTATCACTTGTGGTCACAGTCTTCTAGTATACTAAACCAAAAGAGCATGTACCTTTGCTTTTAGAGAGTTAATTTCATAGTGAGGATGAGATTAGGTTAAAAAAACACAAGACAAAGTATAAGTTATCTTGTATCTAAGGTACTTGAGCATTAGTGCATTTAAGGAATATCTAAGGAAGGACAGTTTGAATACTAACTGTGCTAGTTATACTCTTATAAAGAGATGTCATGAGTGACTATGAAGCTTGATATGACTGTTACCCTGATATTAAGTGGCTCCAAATTGCTTTACCTTTACAGCTTTTGTGTCTGATTTTTATAGTTTTTTGGTCTTCTCTTGTTTTAGCTGGTATTTTTTAGTGTTGCTGTTATTATTTTCTTATTTTAAACAAGAGTTAGGGCCTGAAGATTGATGCTGGTTCTCTGTGTAAGGCAGTCATTTAATTTCTTAACCCTTTTAAAAAAAAAATTTATTTTTTAATTTAAAAAAATATTTTTTAAATATTCATTTTTTGAGATAGAGCAAGCTGGGGAGGGGCAGAGAGAGAAGGAGAGAGAAATCCCAAGGAGGCTCCTCCCTGCTAGCACATAGCCAGATGTGGGGCTTGAACTCAGACTGTGAGATCATGACCTGAGCTGAAACAAAGAGTCGGATGTTTAACCAACTTAAGCCACCCAAGCACACCATTTCTTAACTCTTAAAAAAATAAACTGATACATTTCTTGCCCTTCTGAAACATAAATATTTTAGAGCATTGTGGCAAAATACAGTACAATAAACTATAGGAAAACAGTGCCAAAGGGTTTTGTCATTTTTCTATGATACTGCCCCCTCTGCCTGCCAGGCTATTTAATGAGTCTGTGAACTAAGCCCCATAGGAATCCATCATGTAGAGTATGAGAAGCTAAGATGGTACTTCCTTCATACCCAGATATTTATTTGTAGTCGTAAAAACTGGCTTCAGCTAGCTGTTAATAAATATGGCATCTGGTCATATATACATGGTGCTTCTGAGAAAGCAGGAAGGGATATATGTGCTGCTTTGTGGAGGGAGCTTATGGTATATGGTATATGGTTTGAGTGCTGTTTGGTACCATAAGTGTGAATTAAGGAAGGAAGGTTAAAGGGAAAATGCAAAGTTTAGATAAGACAAAAACAAAGGAAAATATGTCCCAAGTAGAAATTTTTTGG